TATGTATTTTGAATCTTCAAATTGACTTGAAACTTAAAAGAAAATTGTTCTTTAAAAATTCACTGAAAATCGGTAGCTAATATTGTTTGTTTAGGTGTTATTTGATTTTCGTGTTAACTTGTAATTCCGTTAGTCGCCGGCATCTTCTGTTGTTTCACACAGGAAAAACACAGGATACGAAACGTAATGATCGATTTTGTCCGCAATCTCACGCCGTAACAGAAAAAGCTTTTGAACATCTGTAAACTCGGAGCGCTTCGCAGTAAGTGATATTTTCAATGAATATTCGGATCGTTTTCAAGTTCAAGGCTGGTAAATTATAATTTTATGAAAAACGAAGGTTGTTCTGTTATTTCAGTGTGAATCCTTGCATGCCTGCCGGTCGCTGGCGCCGCTTGTTGAAACTAAAACGAAAAAAAAATTATTTTAAGATTATCATTGGCTTCTTTGTCACCCCACCACTATTCTTAGCAACAAAGGTCGCCATTTCGTTTGTTTATTGCTCGCCAAAAACTATCAAATGCACTCAAAAGCCTAAAATCGGAAAAAAGTTTACAAGAATCGACAAATCGAGCGAGCGAGCAAGTGCCCTTCCCCACATCGTATCTACAACTGCTCTTGCGCATGCACGCAATTCACGAGTTAAAAACCATGCATAAAACCATGATCGGTTTGTTTTCATCGCAAATATTCAAAAGAGATATTGAAAATCCATTGCAGAATCATAACGGAAACAGACAACAGCGGAAACGTCCTGACTTAAATATGACGGAAACATGACTTGACATCTCCGTTCAGGAAATATGACGGAAACTTGGAATCGCTAAGAATTGGTAGAACACGTTTCCGCAAAACGTAAATGTAGCGGAAACATGAAGCTCTATGTTTCCGTCACATTCAAGAAATGCGGAAACGTGAGATTTCGTCCTATGCTAGGTACTGCTAATTGATTAAATTTGATGAGTTTTCCTATAATCGTGTTGATCTAGCTTTTTGGTCTACAATTTGGACTATTCTTTCAAAATGGCAAGAGTCTTCTTTATGAGGTCAAGCGTAAGAAATACTAGCGAATGGGACTCTTTGTTTTGTCACTTTGTTGCAAAAGAATTGCAAGGTTTTTGCTTTACATCAGAAATTATAATGCTCCGTTATCCGAATTATTCATTATATAACAAAAATAAATAAGCTGTGCTTGCGACACAACCCAACGTAAAAAAACTACGGAAACCTTCATCACGTGAGTTGCAAACAGAGTGACGATAATAGTCTTTCCTGAATTTGTTTACTCATGGCAGGTCTCAAAGGAATTTTCCAGCTTTATCTTTTGTGCGTTATATGCGTACGTATGCTCGTGGATAAGACTGAGGAAATCTGAAGGAAACATCTCTTCAGAGTATTATCACCTAAAATAGGTAAACAAAATGATCTACAAGCAAGAGAGCTCTATTAAGCCATGAGTTTCAAGTGACCTAAATGGGTCATTTTTCAAAAGGAATATGTCCCATTATAGGGGTTCATATAAATCTCCTACTCAAGAAACGTACCAGATCAACCCAGAGATCAAAGATCTGTTTCGCATTCATTAACTTCTCCTTTTTTACTGGAGGACAAGCGGGCGAAAACTTTACGTTACGCGTGCGTCGTTGTTATACTATAACTGTTCGTGCCAAATGGAGGCAATATTTACATAATCTGGAGGAGGAGTTTAAAGCCCGATTGCGTGTCTTAGTCCTAGGTTAAGGACTATTTCGGATTCTACCACCAAAATCTGGATCCTGTAAAAGTTGCCTGATTACCAAAACTGGGGGTCGAGTCTTAAAAAAATATAGCAGTTTGCATAATCAATCCTCTTCCATTAAAAAACCGCAAAACCTATGTGATGCGGTGGAAAAGTTGATCATTCAGTTTTGTTATCTAAGTGCCTTGGAGGACCAGAGGGCAAAACTTATTTTTAAAAGTTTATATTATCTTTGCTTCTCTTTTAATCTACCAATTCTTCAGACATGTCAACTCACTCTCTCACTCCGCCCCGTCCCGCCGCAAAAGTCGAGATGCCGAATAACACCTTCTCTGAGAAATGATGAAAAATCCAAAGGATCGAAGGAACTGCATGGAAAGGTCGACTAACATCGCTTCTGCTGGGTTAAACAATTGTTTCAAAACTTTCTTTGATACTTCGATTCAGTTGTTTCATGATGTCTCATTAGCTGCGAGAACGAGAATTGAGGTCTGTAAATGGACAGTCAGGGAAAATTTCAAACACTGACGTCTTGCCATGACCATATGGCAGTTGGTGGTGATGGTTCGGAAAAAGTGTAAACAAGCTGTTGAGACTGGCATCGCAGTTCGCAAACTGTACTATGATGTCATTAGATCTGAAGCCCTGTATTTGACGATCAAGTTAGTACCATATTTGAAGCCATATATTCTCATTATTTATCCGCAAAACCAACCGTTAATAACGTTTGCTCTCATGCATGCGGAACATATTGTTTATTCCGTTTTCTGTAAAAGATTTACATAGCATGGAATAAAAGTGAACAGATAAGGAAAAAAAAATTAGCCGCATATCAAAGTCCCCTATTTTCTCGCTCAACACCGCCGCTTGGTGAGCCCCAGAAGTTTTACGGGGTAATTTTAAGGTTGGCTTATCATTCATGATTGAATTGCGGTTGGCCTATGCGGAAGACTTTGATAATTTTCAACTTAGCATATGAATAACACACACGCTTTGTGTTTGCATTGGTAATGAGTGGATTGACATCTTGCCGACGGTACGGTGTATTCCCTCGGGAGATTCCATTTTGATTTCAGTCAAAAGCGCTTGATATTTGCATACTGTCAAACGTTTTCGGTAAACTAGTTGAATAAATGAAGATTTAGATATATGAAAATTCACATATTTGCACTGCGGTGGAAAGATGAAATTAGAAGATCCTCGCAGCTAAGAACACTACTGAAACTAGTAGTTGTAAGTAGGACCTGAAAAAAATTTCAGGCCCGTACGGGATTTGAACCCATGACCTCTGCACCGGTATCGCAGAGGTCATGGGTTCAAATCCCGTACGGGCCTGAAATTTTTTTCAGGTCCTACTTACAACTACTAGTTTCAGTAGTGTTCTAAGCTGCGAGGATCTTCTAATTTCATCATAGTTGAATAAACTTGATCTTGAATAAAAAATGTGTATCGATAATCGAATGTTAGGTAACTAAAGATGATGGAGGAGTAGAAAAAGAACCGTGACTATTCATGAAGGCATTTGTAAACAATGCTTATATTTACTTATCAATAAAGGGCAAAATTACTGAGCGCTGATTGGTTGAGAGAGAGGGCATTTTTTTTTCTTAATCGAGGGCATTTTTAGTAATCAAGAGAGGGCATGATTACCTGTTAATAATTGGCTAATCCGTTGCATTGCTAATCCGTTGCTTCCCAGATAAAAATAGACTGCGCGCGTGATTTTCCTTCGTATAAATTTTGCCCTTTATTGATAAACAAGTAATCCCATGAGACCTCGTACTATTAAGGATTAATTGCACTTGAGTTTTCAAAATTTTTCCAAATTGCCCTCGTCGCTTCGCGACTCGGGCAATTTATCCTTAATAGTACTTGAAAAAATTAATAGTACTTGGCCTCATGTGATTACCTATACAAAGTTCGTGTTGAATGTTGTTACTGTTATTCTCCCACGCGATGGTACTGTTGGTTTGGCAAGCATGCTCTAAACAAAGCAGAGTTTAATTCCTTGCAGAGGGGAAACACGCTATATTAGGAACCTTCAAGTGTTTACCAAACTAACTTTAGTCTGTCCGATGTACTCTTGACTGATCGCAGTGCGAAGACTATTAACTTTGACAGGATCACGGCTCGAAACATCCCTTCAAAAGGAATTGTAAGCTACGGTTTCAAAACACAAACATCCAGTTCGAACGTCTCACAACTTTTTTGAAACGTATAGCTCCAGCCGTTCGAACGGCTCCCAATTTTTTTTGAACGGATAGCTCAAGCCGTTCGAACGGCTCCCAATTTTTTTGGAACGGATAGCTCCAGCCGTTCGAACGGTTCCCAATTTTTTTTGAACGGATAGCTCAAGCCGTTTGAACGGCTCCCAATCTATTTGGAACGGATAGCTCCAGCCGTTCGAACGGCTCCTAATTGTTTTTGAACGGATAGCTCAAGCCGTTCGAACGGCATCCCATCCCGTTCGAACGGCTGATGAACGGCTTACGAACGGCTATCCGTTTCAAAACGGCAAACCGTAAGGAACGTTTTCGCGTGAGAGGTCACATTTAAGATAAGGAATAATTTGCATATTTGTGCTTGTTTTGCAAACCAGATGCCTCTCGAAAAGCGTGGAAATTATGCACAATACGTTTTACTTTTAGAAGAAGAGAAATTGCGCGAACAACGAACTCTCCGAAATTTGACGATCAAGTTAGTACCATATCTGAAGTAATATATCATGATTATTTATCCGCATAACCAACCGTTAATAGTTTGCTCTCATGCATGCGAGACATTGTTTATTCCTTTTTCTGTAAAAGTTTTACATCGCATCGAATGAGAGTGAACAGATGAGGAAAAAATTCAACCGCATATCAAAGTCCCCAATTTTCTCGCCCCAGAAGTTTTGCAGGGTAATTTTAAGATTGACTCATTATTCATGATTGAACTGCGGTTAGTCTATGCGGAAGACTTTATCATTACCGACCGAAGATCGTGGCTAAAAACTGGGCTTGTTATCCTGTAAATGTAAAATATATTTTTGTACTTCACCTATATTCATTTGACTTTTAAGACAGATGGTAAAGTTGCGTGGTTTTTTTAAAGTCTCCAGGATGAAAACTAGCTAAAGCATCAGTTTAATTGCAATGCTAACTTCATTCATGCTGTGTAAACATACGCATAGGAGCCATTACTGACTCTCTGAAAACCATCATGGATTTAATATTACGTGGCAATAAAACCTTCAAGATAAAAACAGCGGACTGACAGTTCAGTCTAGTAATCACACACGAAAAAAATTGAAAAATTCTACTCTTATGTGTGGGTCAGGGACATGTAAGACTCTTCCAAGTTTCAGTGCTACGGTCAGTAGAAACACGACGGTACGAGGTTTCTAAAAATGATTCATTCTGTAGTCATAAGCAATCTTGATTACTTCTTCACGCAATTGCCCAAAAAGCATCGTGGGACTGAATATCCCCGGCTAACACTGAGGATATCCAAGTGATTAAGATTCACAAACCAAAATTCTAACGGAAAAATTGGAAAATACTTTCAGCACAGCCCAGCATATGTCTCGCGGTGTTGCCAAAGAAAACAGAAAATTACATCTTCCTATTGAGAACACTGCTGAGGATGCTTATTGTCTACTAGCATTTGTAATTATTGTTTCTTCTATTTGTAGTTATTGTTTCTTCTATACGAACATCATCAAACTGGTCCATTGAAAATATTGTTTAAGAGTTCATGAAAAAGGGAAAGCAATGGACTCTTAAATTATATGATCCTTAAACGCTCTGTAATATTTAACTTGGTGTAGGTACAGCCATGAAAGCTGTTATGATGGTACTAGCTCTCACAGCTTCCGTGTCGAATTTGACAGCAGCTATTCAAAGCCGTTCGTCCTTTCTTCAGACGACGAAAGATCGCTATCTAGTAGGCCATGTGATCAGTGATCATCGGAAGGTGTCCAGCATTTCATCATGTGCACAACTCTGTCTGAAAAGACGTCCATCTTGCCGCTCAATAAACTACGGGGGAGGAGAAGGAGAAACGATTTGTGAGTTAAACGATAAAGGATTAGAGAGCGCTAATGCAGAGTCTTCTTCCTTTGTTTCTATGCCTGGATTTATCTTTGCTCAGCTTCTCAATTTTGAGGTTAGTGCAGATGAAAGTCTGGAAATGATCCTAACCAAATTTGTACCAATTTATAGAAAAGGAACAAAATAAAGTAGTGCATTTACACTATCTTTATAAATTTTTTTAAGCCTAATGATAGCATGCCATAGTAAAGGAAATAAAGACGCGTCGGCGATTTATCCCCCATAGGCCTCTGTTTCATAGGTGCGATCTTTTAAGCTGCGTAGACTTTTAAACTGCAGCAAATGGATGTAAAAATACAACTTTTTCGGAAAATTATCTCCGCCACTGACCCACTAAAATATGGGTATAAGCATGCTAATCTCATTTACATGTACCCTTGCATATCATGCCATCGGTAATCGTGAGGAATCATTCCTAGATCAAGGAAGCGAAGGAATGAAAAATTGCTCTAAGCTAGATGCTTTGTATTACACGTGCTCAACGATTATAACGTTGTAGAATTTAAATATTTACTGTAGTATGGTTTACTTTTTAATCCTTATTTGAAATAGTATCACAAGAGTTGCGACGAAATCCAGAAAAAGAATCCTGAGGCGAAGAGTGGTTTACACAAAGTTTACCCTGTGTCAAATGCTGATCCTGTTGAGGTATACTGTGAACTTGACATTGCTGAAGGTGGCTTCACTTTCCTTCCTCACAGCCTCACTTTAAGATCAGATGCTAAACAGATTGTCGACGCCCTCTTCAAAGACAAGAAAACCGTGTTGCTAAAGTTAAGGAAACATGTCGATGGCAGCGAGTGGTACACTTTGATTCAGCCCCACCCGAATTATGCTGACGTCGATTTTGGCGTCTTGGTGAACAACTACTCTGGTTACACCGAACCAAACAACGCCTTCATGCAGAAATACGTATTCCTTGGCATCCTCCCTAAATCAGTGGCAAATAAGAAAACAACCCAGGGTTTCAGATCTAATGGCATCATAGTAGAGTTTGGGAACTGCGATGCCAATCCCAACAGCTTGTTTGCATTTTTCCCGAACCATCATCACGAATTACCATATGGTCATGGCGGGACGTCAGGATATGAAAATAGTGGAGTCGCAGTAAACTGGCGTTCCCATGCCAAAGCTGTCACGAATGGCGGTCCCAAAACGCCAAGCGAGTTCTTCTTCTTGACCGAGCTGGAATTTGGTGGCTGTGGCTGTTACACTTCAAGCGACCGCTGGAAGAAGTTTGGTTATAATTCTACTGCCATTGGACTCCGCTGATCAATGTTTTCATCATGAAAAGTTAGCTTTTTTGATTGCTAATGGATGACTTGTAACTCATTACTAGTCAGCAAGGGTCAGACTCACTTTTCAGAAGGTTGCCAAATACTATAAATGACCAGTAGATGAGTTGGAATGAGAACAGAAAATGTGCAAACCTTTAGTTTGGTAGATTACTTTATACCAAAAGCTGCCTCATCTGTCTTAACATTTACATGATTTGTTATGTTCTGTTTGTGTAATTTAACCTTTCATATTTAATTATCGAGCTTAGAGGTTATCTAAGTTCCTAAAGAAAATTCAAACTAATAATAAAAATAATTATCATAATGATAGTAATAACGATAAGTTCATATCTATGATTTTCATATATTTACACTCATATATTCATCACTTCACGGGTTTATTTGGAACCAACATAATAGCCATCTCCCAGATGGCTTGTTAGCTCAGTTGATAGTGCACTGCAGTGGTATCGTAAAGGTCAAATTCTGTATAGGGCTGAATTTTTTTCAGGTGAACGTAAGGCTAGAAAGTATTCTTTGTCTAAGTATCTCTAACGCAGCTATTGACTACTTCCTTCGCTCGCCTCCTCCATGTAAACACAATAATTTCGGCCCATCCATGTAAAGACCTAACTTTTTAAGCTATTTGAAAGTGTGTAAAGCTTTGTAAACTTCCAGAATGTCGACTTTCCATCGAAGGACATTGACAGATACGTAGAGTCCATTCCAGTTCGATTTATTCAGCGGCATGCGTGTTAACGAAGTTGTCAATCATGTTATTTTCATTTGTGAAACGGAAGATGCTTTTGTCTTCCGGTGGACGTGGTCGTTGTTAAACCAAATAAAAGCTAGTTGGTAGGGCGAATGAAACAAGAGACATCTGATATTTAGTGGCAAGGAGGTTATAGCCGCGCGGGAACACACCGTTTAGCGACCCTTTCAAAATAAAATTTATCGATGTAAGAAACCAAGTGCTGCAGTCTCCTCTAGAAACTTTCCCATGTACAATGTGTACAAACTCGTACGTTATTCGTGAACTTCTGTCTGACTCGATCGTCTTTACATTTATTTCGCGAAAATCCTGTTTTGTGAGTAAGTGAACCATGCAATGATATTGAAATTTTCCTGTAGTTTAGGTTAAAGCGAAGTACGAGTGGTGCCATGGAAGGCATTACCGTTTTTTTGTAGAACGTTTTCGATGGGACGTATACCATTCCATTTATTTTCAACCCGAACGATTTTCCGAGGACATTGTCTAAATAACCAGGGTGAGAAGAGTCGATTACAAAGTTTTTCAACTCGTTAGATGACGATTCTGTAATATAGTAAAATTAAACAGTAACTTGAGAGAATACACTAAGCAATATCCGAGAGGAATCCTTAAAAATACTTTACCTTCGCCTAAGTAACTGACACTTATTTTAGGTTTCATAGAGACGAAAGAGATCGAAAAACACTTTATGAAATTTTTCTTATTAAAATTACCTGTGGATAAAAAATCAAAAAAGGTGATTGATATGGAGTTTTGTAGTTTCTAGAGCCGGGCTTTATTGAGAAATTGAATTGAAGGGGAAGCAATCTCTGATTGATTAAAAAGTTTTTCAACAGAGAGGAACAATTCTTGATTTCACGATGCTCGTTATTGACGGACTTTGAATGGTATCTATTTTTTAAAATTTGTTGGGTGGCAAAAAATTGCACCATATGTGAGAGCGTATTTAATACTTGCAAATATAAAATACGGTTCAATTAAATATCAAAATGAAGATGTCAAGTGAGTGGGAGAGGGAGTTCAAAAACAGCCGAAGTTTGTCGAGCAGAACTTCGATCATTGATAACTCTTAAAAGTCTCGACCTCGAAAAACTTTTCCGGAGAAGTTGAATATATGCATTTATTGTTTTTTTAGAGGGCACGGTAACGAATCTTGCAATCTTATTGGTTCTTTACCCGGTCAGTATTTTCCTATCTCTGCCCACGGGCCACGGTAACGCTTTCGTGAGTCGCCGAGTACATCCCAACTTTCGTTGTCATTTTTCATAAATATACCTCGTTTTCTGGCTGGGCTGTATTTTTAAGCAAACACGTCGGTCACTACCTCAAGCCGATAAATAACTTATGAATCCTCTCTTTTCTCTCTATCAAATCACTTTGGTTGACAGAAAATTATTGGTTTCAGAATGAATTTGTATAAACAATAGTGTCATTACGTTGGTTGACAAGCGGCCTAAAAACCGTCTGCAATTAATTTTAATCGTTCACAAAAAGTACCCAGAAAGTTGAAACGTGAGGTATTTGGTTACAGTTAAACTGAACGATGGAACTTTCATTCATTTAATATCTGAATTTTTCTCGAGCAATTTGTTCATAGTGAAAGAGCGAGCGAAGTTTTAAATTCTACAACAAATATACGCTCCTGGTGAGTCTTTCCAATTCCGTTCAATTTGGACATTTGTACCTTAAACTGCACAACAGAAATTGAAGGAATTTTTTGAGAAAAGGCCGCATTACATTCCCTTGTGTCTCGTTGGAGTGTGCCGTTCGAATTTAGTTTTTGTGAAGGAAAGATCAGAGTTAAACACGCCATTACAGCAAACAAACGAGCAAACTCTCACAACTTCAAAATAAAAAAAATTGAATTTACTCACAATTAGTTCCTCGCCGTTTACTTAATGAACAGAGGTAAATCTTCGTACATGAATGAGTGGTCGATGAGAGTGAATAATACTTTCCGTTAGATCATTAACTGATTTTGAAGAAAACATTGTCGTGACAGTCCTTGCCAAACTAGTTCTGTTGGTTTTCAAATGTTCCTACGCTTTTTTTTTCTTGCGCGCTCTCTAATTGACAGGTGTCAGATTGTGACAGATACTTGTAAAAATAATGTTTCAAAGTTTGTTTGGAAGCCTTTTAAATCACCTTTATCGTTACGGAAATGAAAATGTTTCGCTGAGGCATCTCTCTTAAATTTGCATCACCTCTATTTTAACTACCATTTACTCACTCAAAAATTGTTCAGTTTATGGAAGATCTTGCCGTATTTACGGACATAAATCATTCGGGTTCTTTCGGAAAGAATTTCGTCAAGTTTAAAAACAATAAATATGTTATTTACCGGCTAAGGGTCGGTCCGTATGGTGAAAAACTGTGACCTCGGTCTTGAAAATGCTGCCCTCGGCCTACGGCCTCGGGCAGCATTTTCAAGACCTCGGTCACAGTTTTTCACCATACGGACCTCCCAGCCGGCAAATAACATATATATGTCGAGTGGAAGACTACCTTCAATGTGGGAATATTTTTCAGCAGAATCTGCTACTCATGGGTGGCTCTATTTAACTAAGAACAGGAAGGACGTTTGATAATTTTTGCGAAAGAAATATGCAAAATAACAGAATAGATGAGCGATGAAAATTTCGCTAACAAAGTTCGCAGACCAGACATGCAATTAAAGAGTAAATTAAATTTCTACTTATAGCAAGAAAATTTAGCAAATTTATTATTTAGAGTGAGTAACGCACTAAATCATTCTATTTTCAGGATTTCAGGGTTACCAAATCCAATTCTTGACCACCCCTCATCCGCTACTAGGACCTCATTTCATTTTACTTCGATGACAATTTTTGACTTGATGTATCGTGCTATTTGTAGTCGTAGTGAGTAAGCGTTTTGTCCACTATTTGAGAATCGCAACGGTTTACTTTTTAAAGCAAAAAATTAGTAGATGGAAACTTTATCGGATTCCATGGTTGCTCGCAAGAATTTGAACTGCGAAAAGTAATATTTCTCTAATATCTCTTTGTTCTCTTGATTCATACCAAGCAAAATTGGCAAGGTAAAATTGAAAATATTTTGCTCTCCATCGATCAGAATTTATTATGCTCTGCTATCCGAGGCGGACCTCATTTTTCATCACCTAAGTAATGCTAATTGATTAAATTGGATGAATTTTCCTAACCGTGTTGATCTACCTTTTCGGTATACAATTTGGAATTTTGTTTGAAAATGGCAAGACTTCTTTATGAAGTCAAGGGTAAGAAATGCGAGCGAATGGGGAACTCTTTGTTTTGTTATTTCGTTGCAAAAATATTCGCAAGCTGAAATTGCAAGTCTTTTGCTTTCAGAATAAATAGTACTCCTTTATCCGAATTATTCATTATATAAATAACACAAATAAACTGTGCTTACGACACAAGCCAACGTAAAGAGTACGGAAACCTTCACTCCGTGATTTGCAATCAGAGTGACAAGAATAGGCCACGTTGCTTAGGGTTAGAGTTATGCGTGCCTCGTTGTTATGTTATAACTGTTTGTCTCACGATGAAATCACTTCAATCAGCTGTGGACTGTACACCTAAGAAGAAGAGATCCACATTGGAAGTGACTACATCGCGTAACAAACGATTAGAGCGGAGTTTGCAGTGCGCACGAAGCAAAGTCCCATACAAATGAAAAATGGTAGGAGCCAATCAAGCCCAGAAAACTACATCTATCGCGTGACCTCTTGACTGACAGTTCTTTCCATGAGGGCAGTCGTATCCTTAGAGGGAAAGTATCATCATAGTTCAAAACGAATTTCATTGCAACTTCAAATTACACTTAAACTTCTACAACTCAATTGACTTCATTTATATCAACATCTTTTTGCCAATATTTATTTTCCGACACTCATAAATGTTTGAGTTTCACAAAGCTGCGTACAGTTAGATGGTTAAAAATCTGTTTCCATAGTTATCCCACAATGAAAACAGTTTTAAAAGTGATAGTTATAGATGCTCTCCTTATGATATCCGCACTTCTGAAGATAATCATATCAGAATTCTTCCATAGACCTTGCTCGTCATTAAACAAAACCTTGAGCAAATTTCCTTATGACTTATCTGAGAAAATCTTAAATTAATTTGCTTGATCTGAAAAAAAATTGGCACCTATTTTAGTTTATAGAAAGACGAGAGAAACAAACAAAACAAGTATCTCATTTTTCGTATTGTGATAAGTGATTTTCATGGAGTTTTGCCGTTTCTAGAGCCGAGTTTTATCGAAAAGCAGAATTATCAAAAGTAATCACACCTACATTACATACCAAGGGGGATACAATTCTTGAATTAGAGTAAAATGCATGAGTTCGCGATGTTCGTCATCAACAGATAGGAAATCTTATCTATTTTACTTTGTTAGGCAGCAGAAAATTGCGCCTAGAAAGTACTGAATGATGACTAAGGGACAAAACTAGGAGGTCAAGTGAGTGGAAGAGGGGAGCATA